GGGGGGGGGGGGGGGGGGGGTTGGAATTGAATGATCAATTATTAGGCCCGGACGTCCCAACACTTGCTTCGCAAGACAAACTCAAGGTATCCCCTAAAGGGCTACCTTTCGTGATATCTTCTCAATGATCGGACTCGAACGCTATGCACAAACCCAACCAGTCGCTGGGCGCCTCAAGGGTTGGGGGAGCAAGTGGCTGGGCAACAGGGCGCCAATGCCACCACCTCCGCCACACGGCCGTCACCCCAAAGCCGCCCGCAGGCTGATCGCGCCAGGGCTGCGCCAACAGCATGGTAGCCGACGCGCACCGCTGGGCGCAGCTGAAGGACCACGCCGCCAGCCAGCGCGGGCAGCGATGCGCAAGGCAGCCAAAGGAGGCGCAATCGTTCACGAGGACGACGAGGCGTTGAGGCAATGGATCTCTAAGCGCCGCCGTGTTACTGAGATGGCGCCCGCGCAGCGCCAGGCTGGGGCGCCCTCATATCGTGAATTTCAGCGCTCATCGCCAAAGTGCGTGGCGTGGTGGCATAAAGAGAAATGTTGCCGGGACGCGGCCCAGCGCTGTCCCATGGGCCAGCCACAGCTGAAGGACAAGCGCCATTCTAAGCCCAAACCCCCCTGACAAATCTCTACCCCCACAGTTGCCCAAGAACCCTGATTGGAGGCACACCACCCAGTGGCCCGGCGGTCCCCATAGAGAGGGCCACAGGGCGCAGGGGCCCTGGAAACGGTGCTGCAGGGCGAGGAAGGTGAGTGCGGGCACGCTGCAAAAGCTGAAACATGCTGCAACCCATGTGCCCGCACTAGCCCCATGGCAACGCTCGTTTGTGTAGAGCAGTCGGGTGTGTGAACGCTGGTTTGCGTAAAGGTTGGAGGTTCGTACGGGAACGTTTTGCACCTGACAACTAGGAGCGGCACGCTGATTCAGCCACCATCACATAAGGCTAAAAGAAATTGCAAACAGAAACAGCTGCAGGAGAACAGTCAGGGGGACATGTGACGATGACAACGGAACCGACGCCCCGGTCAAGCCCTGTTGGCTTGTCAACCCGGACTAGTCGCCAGCAGCGCGCTCACCAAGTGAACTTTTATGATCCAGGGAGTTGTCCTACCATTTTCACCTGAAATCAACCCTCCCCCTCCTTGACTCCAATGGAGGCCACCGAGTGGCGTGCCCCCGGTCAAGGCGCTTCGTGGCCGAGTTTGCCCCTTCGCGACGCAGCAGCTTACGTGTGCCAAACAAGCGCGGACACCCACACAGCGCTGTCGGGTTCAAGCCTTTTCCCGGCCTCACCACAACAGACCGCTGCTGGCAGAGCGCGTCGTGTGGGCGATACCTGGCGTTGCGACAACACGCTGGCCGCGGGATCTTGGTCCCCGGCGATTGGTTTGCGCTCGCGACTGCGCCAGGCAGGCCAGTGGGCAGTGCAATGTGCACTGCTGAAGGGCTGTCGGGGCAGAGCGCCTGCGTTGGGGCGACTAACCCGATGAAGTCAACAGTTTCGAAGCTCTGTTGTCTTCCAATTTTGAGGGCACGGTCAACTAACTAGGCGAAGTTGACAGTAGCCTGAGGAAAAAACTGGAACACTTGTTGGGCGTGGCAAACACGAAACCCAAAGCCTGTTGCGAAATTTGGATTGCGGCCCAGCGACCACAATCAACATCACCCGGGACACCGGTCAAGCAGGCTTGTTGAGGTAAGTGGTCTGAAGCCTACCCCTGTATGTTGTTCGACCGGCCCCTGGCAAGAATCACGCCAGCCAGCGATGCACGATTCCTTAATGGTAATTACTGACCAAACCTACGCCGAAAGCCTGCTTTGAGTGCGACAGTTTGCCCTTGGAACAACAAAGTACCAATGCACCCAGTTGAATATGGTCAATCCCCGCGGCTATTTCGGCTACATCAGGTGGCTTTGTTACCACCCGGCAGTGAATCAAGAACATCCTATTGCCCACGTTTACTTTTGTTGCGCAGCACAAAACGACCCTCTTGAAAAGTGAAGATGTCTGGGGGTTTCCCCTTGGGCGGCAAAATGCTGGGCGGCGGCGAAAACGGTCAACAGGGAAGGTGCAGAGACGTCCAGGGCGCGTGGAACCGCGTACATGGTGCAAATGGATCATGCAGTGACCAAATCAATTACGCCAATTTGTGTGGATGGCAGGCGGATGTCCCAAGATGCCGCGCAAACCACGAAGTGAATGCAGTGAAACTCACTTGTTCTGTTTCTGGCGGACGGCAGCGCAACAATTTCACTTTTTGGTTCGTGACACCTTCTTACGAATTCCTGGAGTGCACACGGTTCCGAAACTTGCACGCGCATGCTGATTTGGCAGCCGCCTCAAAAATGTTTGCTTCATTTTTTTCGATAGCCCATCCAGCAATCGGGACGTTCCTATTCACCACCCATTTCAAAGCCCACTGTGGTTGTGTGAGGTGTTTCTCGATCGTTGCGGCTCTTGGTTGCTGGGGACCTCTTCCAAAAAACATCGTGGTTGGGTGAGGGTCTAACCTCTATTATGCATATGAATATAAGGTTTGTCGGTTGCAATGAGTATGCCCAAGTGTTTCGCAAAAAAATGCAAAGTTGCAAAAATGCACACCTTTTAAAACTCAAAAGGGCGTCAGTTAACATCCATGATGCTCATGATGCCATGTCTTTGTACAATGGTCACTGTGCAAAATGGTTCGCACTCCTTCTCGGCGATGTGAGTCTCTAAAATATGTTTCTTTGAGCTCACTTTGCCACCATTGTCAATTTTTTCCATTTTTCATTCTTCCCTTCCCTTTCTTGCTGTGAACTGTCTGTTCTCTCAGGAACTGTGTTCCTAGAGGTTGATGATATCTCTGTTTGTTGTCTGTGTGGAAAGTTTCTCCTCATGACTGCACATTCTAACACAACTCCTTATACTGTTCCATCACTGTCTCTACCATATCTGCGTCTTCGTTTTGTCGACTAGTCAAAAGCTTCGCCCAAGCTTTGCTTCAAATTGACCACACAACTGGACTTGCCTGCTCTCATCGATATCCCTCTGTTCCCTTTTTTGAACATTTTTGGTCCTTCTGATGGTGTTGCTCTGTAGCTGCCTTCAACATTACTTTGTGTCCCCAATACTGTTCTGTTGATGCTTGCATATCTTCCGAGGTCCTTCTTGCTAAGGAGTTTCCTGCGTTCAACTCTTGTAGCACATCATTGGCGCTGAATTGTCTGGTGCATCGAGTTCAGTACAGCCTCCCATGAGAATCAATCCACAATGCATTCTCCTGGCATAGTTCCGCAATCTTTTCATTTTGTCTCCATAGTTCTCAACTTCGCTGGAGCCTCTTTCAAGATCTGTATTTTATACCGTCTGCTTTCCAATCAATATGCTGCCAATTGTCACAGTAGCGTCTTTCTGTATGACCCCATTGTTCATCACTGTCCGCTGCAGACACCGGACGACGCACACTGAAGACCAAACAACACGTTGGAGATCAGCCTCGTCTGCGGGCCTTGACCAGCGACTTGAGGGCCTACATAGTTGGAGAATAAAATTAGGCCACCC